AAAATAAATTCTCAACTCCACATAAAAGTCAACCCCCTGGCCCACGCGCCCGAATTCTGAAAATTCTCGAAGATGAATATTACACATAGTAATATGAAGTCAAGCATATAATTTATTCCAAATTTCATGCCCAATTTTGTGGTCAAAACTGAAAAATATCATTTTTAGATTTTCTTCCAAAATCCCACAATTTCCACTAATTTTCATGTTCCAATCCATAAATAATCCATATATTTAGCTCATAATAAATAGGAATCACTTACTTTATGATAGATGATGAAAATGACCCTCCAAAATTGCCCCAAAATCGGCTCCAAATGATAGAAATGAGTTGAAATGAGCTAAGTCCCGATTTGCAAGCTTATACACTGCCCAGACGTCCCTCTTCATGATTGCGAAAGTATCCTTACGGTCGCAAAGTCCAACATTGCCTCAGCCAAAATCCCCATCTACGCGAATGCAAGTGACCACTTGCGATCGCGAACCTAAGCCGGCCAAGCCTACGCGAACGTGATCCAAGCTCCTCGAACGCAAAGGCCAATCTTCCAAGTCTCAGAAACTTTTCTTCTACGATCATTTCCAGCCTTGCTAACACATCATGTTTGCGACCCTTACTATGCGAATGCGAAAAACAACCAGACCACCATAACCCGATCGCGATGCCCTACCGTGATCATGAAGAACAATTCTTCCACAGCTCCACAAAACACTTCGTCATCGTGGAGACCTTCTCTGCGATCACAATGCACACCACTGACACCAGAAACCAGCAATTGCAAATCAAAGGGAGATGGTCCAAAACCATCCCGAAACATACCCAAGACCCCCGGGACCCATCCATTCATACCAAAAAGTCTCATACCTTATCCAAACTTATCCAAAGGATCAAAACACCACGAATAATATCAAAACCAAGAATTGACGATCAACATCCTTCTCTTGACTCTCAAGCCTTCAAACATTGTCGAACGCGTCCGAATCACACTTAGATATTTCGGATCATGACCAAACTTCACACACAAGTTCCAATCAACTAAATGGACCAATCTAAGGTCCCAGAACACCACTTGGATCCGATAATACCAAAGTTCACTCCAAGTTAAAATTAGCAAATTCAAGAATCTTCAAAATGCAAACTTCTGACAATAAGCGGCGAATCGCTCCCGGACCATCCGATACTCAACCCGAACATGCGCCCAAGTCCCAAATTACCATACAAACATATATGAACCTTCAAATCCCGATTCCGAGGCGTTTACTGAAAAATCAAACCTTGGTCAACTCTTCCAACTTAAAGCTTTCGAATTGAGAATTATTCTTCCAAATTAACTCCGAACTTCTCGAAAATCAAAACCAACTACACATGCAAGTCATAATGCTTAAAGTGAAACTCAAGGTCTGAAACTGCCGAACGACATGCTAAAGTTCAAAACAACTGGTCGGGTTATTACATAACCATAGATAGTTCAGATTAATGGGTGTAATCATGAACTCAATAGGATTTATAAAACTAATCACAACCTTAGAATCTTCATCTCAATTGATTAACACTACTAGAAATTCGGCAAAAACCGACCAAGAAAAATCGACCAACTTTGGTCGGTAAAAAAATCAGCCAAAAACCGACCAAAGTTGGTCGGTTTTTCAAAATATTTTAATTTTTTTTTTTTTACGAAATGACCAACTTTGGTCGGTTTTCTTTGGCGCAAAAATGCGGGAAACTATTTTTGAGTCCCGCAAAATTTATTTTTCAAGAAACCGACCAACTTTGGTCGGTTTTTGCAATTAAAATAAATAAAAATTAATATTAAAAAAACCGACCAA